TTTTTTTAACACTGTGAATTTTTATTTCATCTTCGCTCTTGTCGAAAGATTTATTCCTTCCATTTTTTTTTTCACCTCACTTACGAAAACTTCGATCGCGGTTAAATGAACGATTTAAATGAACATCATAAAATACTTTCTGGCTCAAGTTCTGGCGACAGATCTGGATTGGATCTGAAACAGACATTAAAATGTAATTAGAACATCTATAAAGAAAAAAAATTAATTTATGTTGAGAAATAATGTAAAAACGATCGCGACTGGTCGATCGAGCTTCAAAGAAAAATGTACTATCAATCTCAAACGTCGCAGAGATCAAACAAGACACGAACGTGTACGAGAACCTTTCGATTAAACGAGACTTTTTAAAACTAACAGTTGGTCGAAGTCTCTCGACTTCCCTTTTGTGTTAAAAAAAATTTTCCAAATAATTCTCTACTGTTTCGTGGCGTCTCTCCTTAATAAATCGATCGGGAAAATTTTAAAAATGTGCTCAACACACGATGTAAAGAGTAAAAACTAATCGTTGCGGGTAGTAACATTTTTCTTTCCACTTTTGTCGAATATACGGTCAGAGACGGTCGCGGAGGTGCATGTCAAGGGAGGAAAGGCTGTTCTGTGTTCTCTATACGGAGCATGTGCTGGAGTGATGTAATTTCTAGTCTGGCGTGACGTAGCTAGTTCGTAAAATACACGAGTTTCGACATTGCGCGCTCGCGCTCGTCCCGTAAATCCGTTAGCTCCCAAGAAGTAATTAGTTCTCACGATATTAGAGCAATAAATTTAATGAAATGTACCGTATTGATAGAAAGTTCCAACTGAATTGAAAGAAACTAACCCTTCCAGTGGATTAACTCTTTCAGCAACAATAATACAATTTCTCGACCATAGAATTCTCTCTCTCAGAATTTCTCACACGGCGGTAGAGGAACCATGTAAATGTCATAAGTGTAAAATTGTTCCTGTCAGGAGGTAGTGAATCTGTCTCGTTAATCGATAAAAATTTTTACACCTCCGTTTGTAAATGTTTCGTCGGTAATTAAATTTCACGTAGGTCATGTTTTTTTCTTTTTTTAGTTGGAATCTCTTTCAGTAATTAAAGCACTAATTGCTGCCAAAAATCATCTAATCATCCAGAATCATACGACGTTCCTTAAATTCTAATATTTTTCTTAGTCCAATCGATCTTTGTATAATAAGATATTTCTGTTTAACTTTCTGCACGACAGTGAATATGCATATAAATTTTGTTTAATACGATAAGGTGAAAGCGTAGGAAACTAGATACGATCTTTGAACGATGATCATCGCGGACGTTGCTTCTTTTGCCGCTATGGTTTTTGCTTTTTGACCGGAACAGTTCCTTGCAACTCGACCAGAAACCAGGTAATCGCTTTGATCAAGATACCGTCTTTCACTAAGCAAATTTTTTTCTTTTTTTAAATCCACTCGTACACGTTCCGTCTGATTCGACTGGCTGAAACGCGTACGCGCTGCGGGAATCTCCCATTCTCGATTTTGTTGCTATTGAAACATCTCCCATTCTGGCTTTCCAGCCGTAGAAAACTTTCGAAAAGACGCTTTCCCCTCGCGAGTCCTTGCTTTCTTTATCACGTTTTTCTTCTAATTTCTTTCATCTCAACATATATTACTGATAGTCACGTACGAAATTTAAATATATTGCAAATAATAAACAGACTTTTATCGAATCTAAAGTGACTAAAATTAATGAAAATACCAGTAAAACAAAATTACTATATATATATATATATTGTGTTTGGAATCACATATCCACTTTTCACAGTGGAATAATCTTTCCATCGATGTCTGGTTTTTTCAAAAAAGTAGAAAACTTTTTATTTATTTGTTTTTCTTCTGTCGATTGAAAAAATATTAGTTTGTGCTTTTTGTTTCCTTTTTTCAACAACTGTTCGTACAATCCGTGTAAAGCAAGGAGATTCATGCTCGATGAGTACAAACAAGGAGTAAAACATTTTCGAAACGTTTGATCGTCATTTTGTTTTTTAGATATTTCGAACCTTCTAGACACGATTGGAATTTATTTTCCTATTTTTTTTTATCGTTCATTTCTTTTTTCTTTTATTTTTTTTTCCTGTGTCAAATTATGTGAAATAAAGTTGGCTACCATTAATATACCTCCAAGTTGCGTGACACTTTATCTGACATAAATTAAAATGTCTGCCGCCGTTTAATCAATTTATCAGCAACTAATTACAATAACTTCCTGGCCTCGGCGATTATTATTGTGTTATGTAAATTTAATTAACTGTAAAATAATTCGAGGCGCTTCGTTGTGCAGCTTGTTACAAGGACAGCCGAGACAACACACCGATCGACCATAAATAAATTTTCGCAATTCTACGCATTATCAATTTTCGCGAATTACGACGATCATAATCTATATATCAGTTTGAGTATCGCCACTACGTGCATCAATTTCATCCGAAGTAAGCTTTACGCTTATTCGCCGCAATACTAAATTTGACAAACGGTCACGACGGAAATATCAAATATTTTACTTTATTTTATTTTTGTGCCCATCTATTATATATATTTATGAACAAATATTTCATTGAAAATACCTTATTAACAGATTGTACAATACTTTGTTCAACGAAATTCTCGTTTTATCAACTCGTTCGACGTGTCAAGCCACAGATTTGCATTCCTCTCTCAAGAATGAAACTTTTTAACACGTAGCAGCGTAACAGCAAACTCTCCAACATTCTTCGGCTAACTACGTCAAAAGTGTATTATACGAGAGTAAGTCAGAAGTCTGAAATTTATCGAAGATCGAAGGGAGCAATACATTATCGTAAAGCAGGTTCGTGGTTCGTGGTTCATCAACTTTTCAGAATTTTATCAACCTTCAAGCATTCTTCGTTTTCTTCAAGCCGGAAGATATTTCATTTGGCATGCAAGTCTCAGCTCGTTGACTCACTCTCGCACGTGTATTTAATTTCTCGTAATAATAATAAATCGTAAACAATTGTCGTGAATCGTAAATACGTTACGTGACGATCCAGAGCGAGAATCACCTGACGAATTCCAGTATGGAGCGTGCCTCACGTTCTGCTCCTGGCGACGCAGGGCGTGCAGAGAAAGATTAGTATCAAACCACCGCCGAGGATTAGGGCGATCATGGCCAGGATCGTCCACACGGTGGATGCTGAAGTCACACGAGCAGATAATAGTCTTTTGGCCGCTGGCAAGTCGACAACCTCGTCGGTACCCAGACCTAATCTCTTGGCCTTGCCGAGCAAGAACTTGAGACGTCGCGATGTCTTCTCGCAGGACATCCTCGCTGGCCCTCCGATCCTATATCCTATTGTACTTTCCAAAACTTTCTCAAAGTTATGCTCCCTCCAAAGATACTTATCATTACGCTTCAAGGTATTCTCGAGTCATCGTTTGACGTCCTCGTTCCCTTATCTTTGAAAAATAAATCTCTCTCTGCCGTCCTCCGAAGAGGGGTGGAATAGATCTTCCGTTCGAAGAAGCTCACGTTGAACGCTGCCGAGGTGTAAATGATTATTTACGCGAGAGAATTTCGGTGGCTTTCGCCGCAGAGGCGACGTGGTAGCTAGGTAGATCTTTCCAGCCGTTGCTTTATTTCAATTAATTTGCAATTCAGTGTCACGATGCACACGCTGAACTTTCTTAAGTGAATCGAAGATAATGCAGTTTTATGGACCCTCTCTAATAGAAACGTTCCGGGGGGGACATTTATTATATTTTCCAACGGTTAATCCAGAGTGTAGTTTACCACCTGACAAAGATATATCAATCCCTGGCTACATGGAAAATGGATGGCATTGTGAACCTCCTTAATCTTCCGTAAAACGCTGCGAACAGAATAAAGTGGAAATTTTTCTCTTTTTTTGTTTCTTTTAGTAATTTCTCCTTCGCAAAATGTGTTGGACTGGATTATAACGGGTCAAATCATCGTTGAATTAAAGTAAAAGAGAAATTTAAAACCAATGAGAATCTTTCATCTTCGGAAAATCGTGGATTTTGTGAAACTGATATTTACGAGTTTATTTCTCCTGTCGGAGAAAGATAACCGGGCGCGTACAAGCGTTTTGATGAATAAATTGCTGCTTTTCTGCATTTCTTGCACCTTTCGTATCTGTCATAAGAAAAACGATAGAACTTTCTTGGTTACCAAGCACACAATTCCCTCGGGAAGTGTTATACCGACGGAAGCATTTTTCCCAGTCCTCGAAATAACGCTGGCCGGCTTCATTCCACGGAGTTTGAAGAGTTCGTTTGGTCGAATTACGGTTTCTCGAATGTTTCCGATCGCATTTCAAACGTAACTCGCGAATAACTTTATTTTAAGAATTTTGAGGGACAGAAAGAGGTCGCGGAGATTTGAAAAACGAGTTGCTAACTCGAGGACACTTTCTGCGACAATTTATAACAGGGACGGTATTAATTTTTGGCACGCAATGCATCAGAAATTTACCTCGTCAACAGATTCTCCCATCAGTTTTTGCGTGCACGTTCCTTTTTTTTTCAAATATAATCGATAAATATTTGACGTTTAGATTTATTTAAAAATGAAGCTGTCTACGAGAGTCTACTGTCCCACATTTTTGTCACATTTTTTTTATATTAAATAACGTCCTCCGGATTAAACGACGCAAAAATATCGAAACGTTGGAATAAAGCTCGAAATTATTTAACACCCCAAAAAATTTGACCAGCTCGTGGTGTCGTTTAACTTTCTAATTAAACTTTCCTGTTTTCCTCGCGTGAGGAAGAAATTTCCCAATACAGTTAGAATACACGCGTGTTCCGTGATTGTAAAAATCAGAAAAAAAAGAAACAAATACACACTGCAAAATTTTTGAACATTCAGGAAACTATTGACTTTCGATGATCAATTGGGACAGACACAAATTATAGGGAAATTTCCCAGATCGGCTGAGCTAATTGTGAGAATCGGAGGGCTGAAAGTTTCGTTGAAAACGCGTAGCGTTTAATACCGGGTCACTTTCTTCAGCAACGTGAGATAGTTTGAACGCGACAACACATTGATTTCAAGCGTTCGCGTTTAATCCGTGCCAAATGTTCTTTGTCCAATCTTCATTCTCGTTTCTCCCGGTCTCTTCGTCCGTAAGCTAATTACATCACTTAATTACAGAGAGTTTTTGCAACGGTCCGACGCCCAGCAAGTCCGCACCCCTTTGAAAAGTAGTCAGCGGTAGTAAGCGAATTTCAAAGAAGAATCGAGGAGCAGGAAATTAAAGAGGATAAAAAGGGAATTATAATCCTCATCGATTCGTGTTTCGTTGAAGAGTTGATGCGCATCGATGCATTTAACGCGAATCGCCATCTGCGAGCTTCTTTCATCGTTGTTCTAAAATTATCGCTAATTCGGATTGAAGTGAATCACCCGTAAATCCCTTAATTGGAAACCATCGATTGCAATCCGTATAAAAAAAAAAAAAAAAAACATAAAATTTATAGAACAATACACTTTCCTTCGATGAAAATTTATACGAAGTATGTTTCACAACAAAGTGACAGAAACAATTTCCTTTACCCAGCGACGACGTTTAACCTTTTGCGTCGAAATGACGTGCCTCTTTTTTTGTCCCAAAATTGCAACATTTTCTCAGTTTTAAGTACATTGAAACGTAACCCAGGCAAAACGAATGAGTTTATTACTTCTTGATAATTACATACCAGTGATATCACGCGGACGAGTTCAAAAGTGAAAGAAAGCGACGAATTACACGGTGTACGGTGTTCGGTCACTCGTTATGGTCCGCAATCAGTTGCCAGCGCGAGCGGCTAATCCCCAGATGTGATATACAACGCGCGAATAAATTATTTAATAAATTATTTCGAGAGAGTAGAGAAAGCATCCGCCGCGTTCGAGAAATCGTTCGAGAAGCTCGAAAAGCTCGCGGCAAGAAAAATTTGAAAATAATAAATAACGTAGGGGCAAAAAGCGTCGGTTTGCGCGACACGACGCTACACCCTCTCTCTAGACCGAACCTCCTCTCCCCCTATATAGCGATCGCTATAATTCAAGGGAGGAAAAAAGTCACGAGAAACGAGTTCCCAAGTTCTTGCGAATTCATCGCGCTTTTTACTCGCGAGGCTTACGTGCGGATTTCTCGAGTTACCTAACTCATTCTTCGGATGATTACGCCCCGCGCTTACACGGAACCCCTTTTACGTGCACTCCACCTTTTCTGAGTTACGGCGCCCTTCGTAATTACACCGGGGAGATTCGTTACTGCCGCCTGGCCACGCTATTGTACAAATTACTCGATGGAATCTGTCTGTGGCGCTTACTCTTAAATACGGATTCGACGTTCGTCGTCGAACGTGACGACGATGTGATATCGCGTCGCGTGAAATTTCTGAAACCCCGAAACGCGATTAAACTTCGAATTCCCCGCGAGGCGAAACGAAAGCAACAGCGAGGGATCTCGATTTGTATATTCGTTTTGCAATGTTACAAGACTGGATTACACATATTTTTTGTTTCATTTTTTTCTTTTCATTTCATTCTCTGTTTTCTTCTGTTTCTTAACGCCCCTTTACTTTGTAAGTTCTCCTAAAAATATTACTCGAGATTATGTTCAAAAGTAACATTCGTGGCACCCCGCCATCGTATCTTAGCTCTAATTCTGTTATCTATTTTCTCATTATCTTTGCAGTATGCCGGTAAGCTCGCGTAGCAAAGACTGTTGCATACGAATCCTCCTACGGAACCGAAACGCGCGCCGTACGTACGATAGCGGAACCTCCAGGTAGATTTAAGTCACGCCAAATGGCTGCATTCCTTACGTATGAAATATTTCACGCCTGCCACTATTAACTTCGTCGGTTTTCAGTGGTATTGTAAGGTGATAAAATTTATATATCGGTCAGGGGAGAGTCACTCGAAACTTTGACGGCCCGCAAAGTCTGATTTAATTTTCGGAGCAATCTAGATTATTCAGTACCCAAGTGTCAAGTAGACATTTCTAAAATTACGTACGCGTATTTTCATCGCGTCAAGTTGAAAGGAAGTTACACGTTTGCTTACTTTGAGCTTAAATGTTTACCGCTTAAATAATAACCAAAAGTGGCTATTCATTTTCTTCCGATAATGCATCTTTTGTCTGTTACGTTAAAATCTTTCTATAATTAAACGTAATTAAATGTGAAAACGTTGAGAATTGCTTGGTAGATCGAAAATAGCGAAGTAAATATTCAACCGTCTCTCAGAAACGAAAGAGAGAGAGAGAGAGAGAGAGAAAGAGAGAAACTTTAAGTTAGCGCTTTTATTTGGCAAATAAATTCGACAGAACGTCCAATATTTCATCGTATTCGAGTGGAACCGAGTCGAATCGATGGAAGTGAACAACACTTAAAAATGTAAAAAAAAAAAAAAAAAAATATTATCCACTTATGCTTATGCGATGAAGGGGCGTTGCACCGTTACACTTTACAAGTGTAAAATGTTCGTGGAACTGTGAAATATTTTTTTAAATATCTGTCTATTGTTTCGTCTATCGATTTCGATTGTTGCGTTGTTCGAAAAATCTGAACCGAAAAAAAACAAAAAAAAGAATATGTATGTTTCAAGACCGAATGTCGTTTTATAATAACAAAAAAAAAAAGCGAAAATAAAACGAAAGCAAAATATAAAACGAAATAAAACATAAAAATAAAACGAAAAATTGGTTGCATACCAAAAGTATGACGCACGCAAATATTTTTTTCCGTTTGTTGCCGTTGATAAATTGTACATAGTACGTCTTGCATATACACGGGATTTTCACGTTATTGGTCGTGAATATTTCGAGATAGTGTTTCGTGAAACAGAAAGCAGTGCATTTAATCAGGTGTTTCTCTAGATTAATCTTCTCTAGAGGGTGCGAATTCTTTCAAAGCGAACGATTTTCCACTTCCGCAACGTAACGTTCCCCTATTTAAAGCGGACATTATTGGCCTCGGGAATTAAAAGAGACTAATTTCAATAAATAAATTGGTAATAAAGTTGGAAAACACGTTGAAAAATATTACGTATGAAATTTGCACGATAATAAAAGAGTTTTAATAAAATATCAAATATTATTATTTATAAGCTATTCGATAAAATAATATTCAAGGCTTTTGATGAAATGTTGAATAAAAGCAGAAATAATTTGCCAATATAAGCCATGGGGAGCACAAATGAAATGCTACGAGCACGATATTATCTGTAAAATATCTCTCGGCGATATTTGTTATTAAAATTTTCCTTCATCCGCGAAAGATCGTCTGACATATGTACGTACGTGTAACACAAACATTCTGTGATATAACGTTTCGATTAATAACATTACGCACGAATCATTTTTGTTGAATAAACAAAATTGATTCACAAACGAACCGAAGAGCAAGCTAAGTAAAATGATCATACACGTGAAACGATTCTTTGGGGCTGAATATTTCACATGACCGTTAAGCAAAAAACTTGGTTCGTAATTATGAATATGATTTAATATTTTCAGAAGGCTTTGATTATAATATGTTACAATACTCTATTAAGGTGCAGAGAATTCGAGAGATATTTCCTCGACGTATTACCTGCTGTTTTACGTAGCAGCCTTTTAACAAAAGTGAAGAGAAAAAGAAAGGAAAGAGGAAAGATGAAGCGGGGGGAAAAAAATTTAATGAATTTTATACTTCAGAATCCACCTCAAAAAAAAGATTTCTATGAAACATTTTTAACGCTACGGGTAGCAACTTCGCAAGCAGTTGCTAAGTTGCCACCGCGAAAGTTCCACCTTAACATTCATCAAAATTTCAAGTCTTTATTCGAAGTGATCCCTCTAGAC